ACTACATGGGAGTCCAACAACATAGCCATTATGCCAACTTTTGGACCCAAAATCAATTTCTTAAAAAACAAAAAAGTTTCCGACAATGGCATTAACCTCACCTCCTCAGATTCAGTAAATCCTAGAGACTGGAGTTAGAGGTTGGGTAGTCATCGGCATTTACATGGTATATTTATTTGCAGGGCTGTGGTAACAAAGTACCACCAACTAGATGTCTTAAACAACTGAAATGTCTTGTCTCACGCTTCTGGAGACTGGAAGTCAAGATCAAGGTGCAAATAGGGTCAGTTCAAAGCTGAGAGCCAAGAGCAAGAATCTGTTCCATGCCTCTCCCTGAGCTTTGGTCACTTGCTGGCGATCTTTTGGTGTTCCTTGGCATGTAGAAGCATCACACCAGTCTCTGCCATTATCTTCAGTTGGTGTTTGTCATAGTATGTGCTGCTCTGACAAAATGCTGCAAGCTGGGTAGTAGAAACAGCAGAAATTTACTTCTCACAGTTCTGGAGGCTGGGAAGTCCACGATCACCTGCAGGGACATTCAGTGTTTGCTGAAGGCCTGCTCCTCACAGATAGTGCTGTCTAGATGTCCTCAGATGGTAGATGGTATGGAAGGGTCAGAAGAGCAAGAGCGAGAGGGATGGACTCTCTGAAGCTCCTTTCATAAAGGCATTAATCCCTGATCGCTTTCCAAAAGGCCCACCTCTCAGTTACTACCACAATAGGGATTAAGCTTCAACATGAATTTGGAGGCAGATCACAACAGTGTTCTCTCTGTGTGTGTGTGTGTCCAAATCCCCCTTTTTACATGGATTTCAGTCATATTGAATTAGGAGCCCATTCTACTCTGGTAAGATGCAATGACCCTATTTCCAAGTAAGATCACATTCTGAGGTACTGAGGGTTAGGACTTTTTCTTTTTAAATAATTATTTTGATTTTATTTATTCATTCATTTATTTTTAATTTGACCAGAGAGAGACAGACAGAGAGAGGGAAAGTGAAAGTGAGAAAGCAAGCCACCAGGTCCAGGACTCAAACTGTGGTTGGCTATGTGGGAATGTTGAGAGCATCTTAACCACCAAGCCACCTGCGGGCGGGGGAAGGGGCGGGTTAGAACTTGGACATACAAAAATTTTTTTTTTTGAGAGGTTTTCGCTATAGGGCGTGTGCACTCGCCAGCCAGACAGAGAGAGACATAGAGACAGAAAGCGAAAAATCACCCCCCAGGGGGGATGGTCACGCCGCAATCCCTTCTCCTCCATTCTCCTCTCTGGATCTTGGGCACGTACGCACATGCGCCCGGCGTTGAGTTCCAAGCCACTGGGTCCAGGACGCGAACCACGGTCGACTACGTGGGAGTCCAGCGACATAGCCATTACGCTAACTGCTGGTTCCCTACATACAAATTTTTTTGAGGGAGGTCACAATTCAACCCATAACCAATAGTGATGGAAGCTACATGAGCAGATAAACCCATGAACAGACGGGGAGTTGGAAGAGAGACCTGAGGAATTACAATGCATGAAAAAAACTTAGAAACAGGGACCAGAGAGGCAGGGCCGGTGTTACTGAAGCCCATGGAGACCGCAATCCATGGAGGAAGGCCAGTAGTGTTCCCCACAGGGAGGACACTGATGGGAAGGAACTGATGCAGGAGAAGCCGAAGATTCCCGGAGATAGGAGGTCATACAAGCATGAATCCTGGTGCCTGCACATGGCCTAGTGGTTAAAAGAGCTGGATTCCACATGGCTGTGCTGTTCGAGTCCTGGACCTGGCAGCTTGAGAAACACACTGGGCATGTGTGTGTATATCTAAAGTCCCACCAGGATGGAGAAATGGAGGAGAAGGGATTGTGGCCTGACCATATCCCTCTGGGCGATGCTTTCGCTCTCTTCCTCTCTCTCTGTCTCTCTCTGGTGAACACACATATCCAATGGCAAATTAAAAAAAAGAAAAGAAAAAAGAACTAGGTGCTGAGTCCTCAGACTCAGTGGCAAGACCTAGTGGGCGAGGATATAGTGCAGAGCTTAGGGAGGGGCTGGCCACTGTGACAAAAGCTCCAGCCACACGACCGCAACCTGTGGTGCTGACAAACGGATGTCACCATCACCCTGAGGTAACACTCCCTCCTGACATGGCCTCCCACCTGTGTCCCCTCACATGGAGCCATTCCTCAGTGGGCCTGGTCAAGTCCACAGTAGCCCAGCAGTCACGGCTCAGTGTCACCTGGGCACAGTAACCACTCAGGAAGCATTCACCCAGATGTCCCAGTGCTTATAGAGCGAATCCCTGGAACTGTCACCGGGCAGTCAGGTACGCATCGTCCACACCCTCTCAAGCCCACCATGTCCGGCTGGATACACGGTCACACAACATACCCCCTGGTGTGTCACACGTTCCTCATACACACCACCAAGTACACCCCCCAGTTACACTGCTGAGCCTAACCACAATTACATTCCATTCTGTCACATACGTCGGGGTCCCCAGGAACCCACGGCAGGAGCACAGTTAAGAGCATCTGTGTGTGTGTGTGTGTGTGTGTGTGTGTCGCACAGACGCCAGCTTCCCCAGTCTGCCTGTCTCTGTCTCTCACAGCCATCGTCCCGAAGGCTGCCGGGAGGAAACCTGAGGCAGACTGCGGAGGCCTGGGCGGGGCGGCCCTCCCCGCGGCGGCTGGCGCTCTCCGGACTCTGCCCGACCAGGGCGGCGGCTCCAGCTGGAGGGCGACGTGGAGCGGCCACGTGGAGCGGCCCGGGGGAGGGCCAGCGGCGGGCAGCCGAGGCCCCGGGGACTGGGGGTGGGTGCGGTGGGTGGGGTGGGCGGGTGCACTGCGCTGGGCGCTGGGACCCAAGACCAACACAGCAGCTCCTGGGTCCGCAGCCCGAGGGTGCAGTGGCTCCGCATCCCTGCGGCTGGAGTGGGGCCCTGGCCTCTGCGCACGGCTGGGGAAGACCCGGCGCCTGAGCACAGGTAGAAGCGGGGGCTGGAAAGCAGAGCCCTGGGTTTGATGGAGTTCACAACCCCGCAGCGCTCTTTCTCGAGAATCGCAGTTGTTGCTCCTGCGGCCCTGGGGACAGGGGGTCTGGCAGGGGTTTCATCCCTCATCTGGCAGATGGAGAGATGGAAGACGGGGAAGGCTCCGTCCTCATCAGCTGGGAGTAGCTGCGGAGACCAGCTCTCAGCTGTGGGCTGTCTGGGTTGGACAATCACTGCGTTTCCTCTTGGGTAGGTGCAGGGCGTGAGCTGGGAGGTACGGGGCACCAGAGGGATAAATTAAGGGCGAGGACTCAGTTCAGAATAACTTCCCAACAGCTAGACTCAGCCAGAAAGGGAACGGATGCCTGAGAGGTGCTAGGCTCCTGTCCTGGAAAGACTCAAGCAGAGGCTGAATGGCCCCTGGACAGAGATGCTGTGGGAGAAATGTCTGCACTGAAGGGGAATCGCCTTCCCAGGCCCGGCCATTATCCCTGAAATGTGCAAGCAGCTTCTACTTTCTGGCAGCCACCTAGCCTACTTTAGCGCACTGCATCCTGTTCAGACTCCTACTGGATAGCTACTATAAATTTCATTTTTAAAAATGAAGATCCCAGGGCTCTAAGAGGTGAAGACACCTCCCCAGATCACATAGGTAGCAGTGTCAGAGGCGGGGGTGGGTGAGAAGTCTGACTGCGTGACCCAGTTCTGCTCCCATGCACTGCTGCAAGGTTGGAAGAAATCTGAGGCTGGAGGTTGGCTGTGAAGGTGTGTGTGAGACATGAGTAACCTTATCGAATTACATCACAACTATTAACAGTTATTACTAGGGTAATTATGTTCATTCACATTGCAGTTATACAAAATGGTTAGTTTTGTTTAGTTGTTTTTTTTTTTTTTTTTTTAATTTTGCTGTAGCACAGTTGCGCTTAGGGCAGGGTAGGGGTGGGGTGGGTGAGAAAGCACCCCCAGGGGTGACGACTACTCCACAATCCCTTCTCCCTCATTCTTTTCTTAGAATTTGGGCATGCACACACACATGCCAGCTGTTTTCTAAGCCACCAGGTCCAGGACTGGAACCGCACAGTCAGCCCAGCTGCCTTAACCTCCACTTCACCTGGCTGGCCTGGGAATGTTTTAATTTGACAGGCAATGGTTCAAGAACTGCTTTATTTCTGTTGCTCATAAAAGCTTTTGTAAATGCTTAGAAATACATAAGTATGAATAAACTTACATGTTATGTGAGGTGCCTTTGCCTGACCTTTAAACAATGGAGGTGGGTTACTTGTACTAAAAACGTTGGGCCTGCCCATGGCCTGGTGGTTAAGTGAGTTGTATCCCACATGGCCCACCACATGGTTTGGGTCCTGGACCTGGAGGATGAAAGTCACGTGGGGGACTCGCTCGCCAGAATGCTGCTCTCTACAATGAGGGGTATGTGTGCATGCATGTGCAAAATCCTGAAAGGAGTGAGATGGAAGGGAAGGATTGCAGGGTGATTGTGCCCCGTGGGGATGCTTCCTCACTTTCTCTCTACCCAGTGATCATACGTGCCCTCTGACACATTAAAAATAATGTCACACAGGGTCAGTAGGTGGTGTGGTAGTTAAGGGCAATGGTATCACACATGGTCAGCTGCAGTTCAAGTCCCAGGCCTAGAGGCTTGCCTTCTCGCTTTATTTTTTCTCTCTCCCTCCCTCTATCTCTCTCTGGTCAAATTGAAGTAAGTAAATAAATAAAGTTAGATAAAATAATTCTTTTAAAAAAATAATGTCATGGGACCAGCAGTTGGTGTAATGGCTATGTTGCTGGACTCCCATGTAGTTGACCATGGTTCGAGTCCCAGATCCAGTGGCTTAAACACACTCCAGGTGTGTGTGTGTACATGCCCAAGATCCCTAGAGGAGAATGGAGGAGAAGGGATTGCGGTGTGGCCATCCCCCCTGGGGGTGGGTGATTTCTTGCTTTCTGTATCTGTCTTTCTGGCGAGTGCACTCACCCTATAGCAAAAACCTCTCAAGAAAAACATTTTTTTTAAAAGTAATAATGTCGCAGCATTACTTAAGAGAATATTACATGGCCAGCCAGCGGCATGGTGGTTAAGGTGGCTGGATCTTGCATGACCAGCTGCACAGTTTGAATCCCGGACCCAGTGGCTTGAAAGACACACTGGACACATGTGCATGCACGCCCAGAATCCTGAAAGGAGAAATGGAGGAGAAGGGGTTTGGTGTTACCGTTCACCATGCAGTTGGGGGGAGGCAATGCGTTCTCATTTTCCCTCTTTTTTCCCTTTGTCTGGTAAGCACAAATACCCTCTAGCAAATAAAGAAAACATTAAAATTAAATAAATTAAATAATTCGCATGCAATTATTTATATTCTTGAAGTTGGCTGAACAAAACATTAAGGTTGTCAGGAGAGTCCCAGTTGAGCATGAATTAGGTTAGGCAAAACCCCTGAAAAGTAAATGTGAAAAAATTTTTTTGTAATTTTTAGAGATTTTTTTCTATAGGGCGCATGTGCTCACCAGAGAGGCAGAGAGAGACAGACAGAAAGAGAGAAATCACCACCACCACCACCCCCAGGGGGATGCCCATGCCACAATCCCTTCTTTTCTAGTCTCCTCTAGGGATTTTGGGCACACATGTACACATGCATGGCGAGGGTCCAGGACTCAAACCGAGGCCAACTACAGGTAGTCCAATGACATAACCATTATGCATCTGCTGGTCCTGCAACTTTTTTTTTTAATAGAATTGTTTTATTTTAGCTTTATTTTAATTTTACCAGAGAAGAACAGAGAGAAAGAGAGAGAGAGAGAAAGCAAGCAAGCTGCCACGTCCGAGACTCAAACCACAGTCGGCCATGTGAAGTCCAGTGCCCTTACCCACCATGCCACTTGCAGGCCCTGAAAAGTTTTTTAAGTCAAAGTATTTTCGCAAACTCCAGTAACTCCTCTGTTTGAAGCAGAATGTTAGTGCACTGGAGCACTGGAGGGTGAATCCAAGATAATTCGGTATCTATAGAAGGCCTTGAAAGCCCAGGCAGGACTCAGGACTGTAATGGAAATAGGGAGCCACTGAAGGTTTTGGAGCAGTGAAGTTCTATTCAATAGTAAAGGAAGAATTAGCTGATGTGGTACAGAGGGATATTTAAATGAAGAAAATACCAGAGGCAAGGAAAAAAAGGCTATTCGCTTGTGCGAGAAGTCATTCATTATCCGTTTAATATTCACTACAACCCTGTCAGGTAAATATGCTTCTCTCCAGGATGCAGATAAAGTAATGAAGTTTAATGAGGATGAGTTACTCACCTGAGGTCACAGGGACAGTCAGTGGTGGAGCTGGGATCTGCGAGTAGGTCCGGCTGGTTCCAAAGCTCTGTTCTCAGTTCACTAAACACACCGAGTGGTTATGCATGTGGGGGATGTATGGCCCCAAGATGGGAGAGTGTTAGGAATTCAAGCAGGTAGGGCTCAGAACCAGGTGTGTGTTTTGCAGGGCCCGGTGCAAAGATGAGTTTCAAGGTGGTAAGAGCAGGCCACCTGTGCCACACATCAGGACGCCAGCACTTACAGGACTGGTTTTCCAGTTACTATCTTTAACACACCACCTCGGAACTTAATGATTGGATAACACTGAGTTTGTTCGTGACTGCCATCTGGGCGGGGCTGTGGCCATAAGCACACTTCTGTTCCATGAGATGCAGCCCCTCGGCTCAAGCTGGAACCATCTGAAGGTTTGCTCCCTCACGTGCCTGGTCATTGGATCAGGAAGATTTGAGCTACTGGAGGCTTCTCAGGCATCGCTATCTCCGTGTGGTTTTTCCACTTGGTCTCTCCAGCATGGCAGCTTTGGGGACTCCAGACTCCTTCCATAGCAGTTCAAGACTCCAGAGGTGCATGTCTGCATGGAGAGAGAGAGAGAGAGAGAGATTGGAGAGAGGGGCATAAGTTATGTCACTTTTATGGCCAGGACTTGGAAGTTACATAGCATTATTCCAACAAGTCACTAAGTCCAGGTCATATACAAAGAGAGGCAAATTAGCTCCGTCTTCTGTGGGAAGGACTAAAGAGTTTGCAGACATGTTTGTAAAACCACCACAGTTGACCTATTGAGTAGATTAGGGGACCTGAATGGCACTTTCCCTTCATGCCTGAACAACTGCCTTCAGGGATTCATTCTTTGCAGTTTACCAATGTCCTCTTTAATTTAATTAATTAATTAATTAATTTTGCTAAAGGGCACATGTGCTTGCTGCAGAGAGGGAAAGTAAGAAGGCACCCCCGGGGAGATGGCCACTCCACAATCCCATCTCCATTGTCCTCTTAGGTTTTGGGGCATGCATGCACATGAACCCAGCATGTTTTTCAAATTGCTGGCTGTGGGACTTGAACCACACAGTTGATCATGTGGGATCTAGCTGCTTTAACTACCAAGCCATCTGCTGACCTACCAAGATCCATTTAAAAAAAAATAATTATTTAATTTTATTTATCATTATTATTATTTTTTAAATTTGCTACAGGGCAACACATGCTCACTAGAGAGAAAGAGAGAGAGAGAGAGAGAGAGAGAGAGGAAAAGTGAGAAAGTAAGCTGCCGGGCCCAGGACTCAAACCATGGTAGCCATGTAGGGATCCCAGTGCCTTAACCACCACACCACCTGCTAGCACTAATGTCCCCTTTTAAAAGGCAACTGCTAGTGGATCGTACACAGTAAGCCTGGGTAATAAGTTTTGACAGCTCTGAGGGTTTGAATTACTCAGTGCCTCCTGTTGGTCTAGGCCTTAGCATTAAGCAGATGGGACAAAAGGCAATTTGAGAGGACCCAGGTGGGAAGACGGGAGGGTGGCTGCGTGTAAAGCCACTGTAGAATGATCCAGGGAAACTTGTAGAAGGAAAAGGACTACATTGTACACGAGGGTTTTCAAGAAGTTCGTGGAAAATGCATATTATGAAAAGCTATGTGTGGATTTCTAATTATATTGCATCAAACGAACTACTTTCATTCCATTTTCCTGTGGACTTTTTCAAGTCTCCTCACGTATCCATCGGGCACCACTTTACATGTCTGTCTCATTTCATCCTCACTGCAGCCCTATGAGGGCCACTCGTTATAGACAGAGGACCCGAAACAAGTCACCCAGCTAGTGAGCTGCAGAGCCTGGATTTGAACTTAAGCAGCCTGAGGTGAGGGCTCAGTCTCTTGAACTGCAGGCTATACCTGTTCCTTAGCAGTTCAGTGGTTCTTTTCCTTTTAATTGTTTTAACATTTGTATCTCTTCCTACTTACGTATTTGCAAGCTCTAAGGGGGGACAAGTTGGAGAGAGGGGCATAAGTTATGTCACTTTTATGGCCAGGACTTGGAAGTTACATAGCATTATTCCAACAAGTCACTAAGTCCAGGTCATATACAAAGAGAGGCAAATTAGCTCCGTCTTCTGTGGGAAGGACTAAAGAGTTTGCAGACATGTTTGTAAAACCACCACAGTTGACCTATTGAGTAGATTAGGGGACCTGAATGGCACTTTCCCTTCATGCCTGAACAACTGCCTTCAGGGATTCATTCTTTGCAGTTTACCAATGTCCTCTTTAATTTAATTAATTAATTAATTAATTTTGCTAAAGGGCACATGTGCTTGCTGCAGAGAGGGAAAGTAAGAAGGCACCCCCGGGGAGATGGCCACTCCACAATCCCATCTCCATTGTCCTCTTAGGTTTTGGGGCATGCATGCACATGAACCCAGCATGTTTTTCAAATTGCTGGCTGTGGGACTTGAACCACACAGTTGATCATGTGGGATCTAGCTGCTTTAACTACCAAGCCATCTGCTGACCTACCAAGATCCATTTAAAAAAAAATAATTATTTAATTTTATTTATCATTATTATTATTTTTTAAATTTGCTACAGGGCAACACATGCTCACTAGAGAGAAAGAGAGAGAGAGAGAGAGAGAGAGAGAGGAAAAGTGAGAAAGTAAGCTGCCGGGCCCAGGACTCAAACCATGGTAGCCATGTAGGGATCCCAGTGCCTTAACCACCACACCACCTGCTAGCACTAATGTCCCCTTTTAAAAGGCAACTGCTAGTGGATCGTACACAGTAAGCCTGGGTAATAAGTTTTGACAGCTCTGAGGGTTTGAATTACTCAGTGCCTCCTGTTGGTCTAGGCCTTAGCATTAAGCAGATGGGACAAAAGGCAATTTGAGAGGACCCAGGTGGGAAGACGGGAGGGTGGCTGCGTGTAAAGCCACTGTAGAATGATCCAGGGAAACTTGTAGAAGGAAAAGGACTACATTGTACACGAGGGTTTTCAAGAAGTTCGTGGAAAATGCATATTATGAAAAGCTATGTGTGGATTTCTAATTATATTGCATCAAACGAACTACTTTCATTCCATTTTCCTGTGGACTTTTTCAAGTCTCCTCACGTATCCATCGGGCACCACTTTACATGTCTGTCTCATTTCATCCTCACTGCAGCCCTATGAGGGCCACTCGTTATAGACAGAGGACCCGAAACAAGTCACCCAGCTAGTGAGCTGCAGAGCCTGGATTTGAACTTAAGCAGCCTGAGGTGAGGGCTCAGTCTCTTGAACTGCAGGCTATACCTGTTCCTTAGCAGTTCAGTGGTTCTTTTCCTTTTAATTGTTTTAACATTTGTATCTCTTCCTACTTACGTATTTGCAAGCTCTAAGGGGGGACAAGAATAAGTGATGCTACTTTAAACTATCGACTTACTGATAAGATTCTACCTCACGTATAGTAGATGCTCAGTAAATATTAAAGAAATAAGTAACGCACATCCACAGTCTACAGACTTGTATTTCCACCTCCCTCTCCTGTGCGTGCTTGTCCTCCTGGTCTATGTCATCTGCCATCTGCTGGTGCTCCCAGGTATCCTCTGTGGCATCCAGGCCAGGGTCCAAGACTTCTGGCATTTGCTTTTGGCCTCTACTGGCAGCTGGCCCATCAGCCATTATGAATCCCTCCTTCTGCCTTCAGGACTGGAACCCTCGGCTAATCCCTCACCTGTTTTGCACCAGCAGCACTCTGAATACAAAGAGCTGGGTGAAGGGGCCAGCAGGTGGCTTGGTGGTTAAGGCACTGGACTCCCACATGGCTGACCACAGTTCGAGTCCTAGACTCAGTGGTGTGAGACTCACGCCAGGTGAGTGTGCATGCGTGCCCAAGATCCTGGGAGGAGAATGGGGAGGAGGGATTGCAGCATGGCCATCCCTGGGGGGTGGGGTGGGGTGACTTTTCACTTTCCCTCTCACTGTCTCAGTCTTTCTCTCTCTCTCTGGTGAGCACACACGCCCTAAAGCGAAAACCTTTACCAAAAAATATATTTATAGGGACCAGCAGTTAGCGTAATGGCTATGTTGCTGGACTCCCATGTAGTCGACTGTGGTTCGCGTCCCGG